CGGCTCCTGTCCCATGCGGAATGATACCAACTGCACTCCACCTCTTATCCCAGCTAGAGGTCTCCAGAGTGGTGCCAGCAGCAGGAAAGGAGAGGTCTTCAGGTCAATGTGAAGCAATACACTGGCCTTAATAGTATAGGGCTGCTTTCACATTGATCCTGTGCGGTTTACCCACATCGTGGGTGCAGTGCAGTGTACTTGCAGCTTTCCTGCAAGTTTGCTGCGCTTAGCCATAGACCTCTATTATATCCTGCAGGTTTGGTGCACCTTCTGAAAACACACTAAAACTCCCGAATGCTGGAATTTTGGTGCACTTCCAGAAAGTGCACCAAACCTGCAGGATATAATAGAAGTCTATGGCAAAGCCAGGAGCGTCGCAGGCGCACTGCACTACATCCATGGTGCAGGTGAATCGCAGCACATCAGTGTGAAAACTGCCATATAGGGGGCTCCGAACAGTAAGGGTTCGTTTACATTTGCAGTTTGGGGGGTGGTAAAACAGTGTGTGGTATCACAGTTAAGACGTATTTTACTGCCCCAACTGCACCCCCTTTAGCTGCAGTGGCCAGGGGTGTGCACATGTTGCAGCCTCCGCAGGAGGTTATATGTCCTCCCAGGTTATACACCCTGTTATGGTTGATGGGTGTAGTGCCTCTCAAACCTGACCAAGTCAAGTGAATGAGGCTGTTCTGCAAGCTGTAACCTTGAGCAGTGCAGCAAACAAGGGGTTAAAGCAGGCAGCGTTGTGTTGCTTTCTCACCACCTGTTTTAACCCCTTGGACCCTACAGAAGCAGGCAGTTGCAGGGCACTTGCAGAGTGGCCCCATTTACTTGAATAGGTCGCGAGTGGCAGGCGGTAGCACCCACCAAAAGCAACACATGCTGTAGCATGTGTACACCTTTGGATGCTGCCTCAGAAGCTAAAGGGGAGGGGACTAGGGGGCGGTAAAACTGTGACTCAACCACAGGGTTTTACCCCCTCCCCAACTTTCCATGCGAGAGAGCCCTAACGGTGCTGTTGTTGAATGCAACTAAGGGCTCATTCACAAGTTCAGCAGGTACTCTCCTCTGAAAAGCGACCCAAGTGTGTTGAAGAGTGATGAGGAGGCGATATGTTGCCTCCTCACCACCTGATTTAAACTGATGATTGTCATGTAATTGTGACACGGTAGTACGCCAGTTAGAGGTTTAAAGCCGCTGTGAGGGGGCGACAGTGCTCTTTGAGTCCTCCCATGTTGCTCAGGTAGATCTCCACCTTTGCACAGCACCATGAAGCTGACTCTAGCACCCCGCAGGTTTGTTTCTAGCCAGCACTGGACAGTTTATTCCCTTTCTACAGCTAAGGCAGAACACAATAGACTTCAGCAGGGACCAGCTGAGAGCCGATCCATCTATGGGCAGGCTGGTTGCACCGGTTGATCCATCAATCAACTTCAGCACCACCATGTGCCTGTTGGATTTTGTGCATGTGACTGCTACCTCCAGCAGTGATCATTATGTTCTGCCGGTAGGGAAGGCTCCCCACCAGCAGAACACACTAACACTGCACAAGAGATTCATATTCCTTGTTGATGGGGGAATCGAGCAATTTTCTTTCCTGCAACCTGCGGTGGAAAAAAAGAAAATTGCATAATCTAAGGGCTGCTTTACCACCCTCCAGACATATTTTATACACATAGAGTGCAAGCTCTTCGGTTCCACAGTAGACACAATGCCCCTAGACATTGACGATTACTCACTTTTACGCAGTAGCAGAGTACGGGCCCCATGTTGACATGTTTGGTGTGGCTGATGTTCTGCTCAGGTGCAGATTTGTCAGGCTCTGGCAGGGAGCCGTCCTCCTGGGGATTAGCATTTGCATCCACATCCTGCTTGACTTGAGCCGGCCGCACGTAGCTGTTGAAAGCGATCTCTGAAGCCGTTGGGCTCCTCTGATCTCTGTGGGCATCATTCAGTTTTAATCTGGGCACCTCTTTTGTACCCAGAGAGAAGTGTCTCAGCCTCATTAGGCTGCCCGAGCCGGGGAGTTTAAAATGGGACATTTTGGGTATCAAAGTGCATAGTGTGGTGGAAGTGTCCGGTGTCACCAGGGTGAGGCTTTCCACCGGTAAGAAGGAAGTAGCAGCTGCATGGGAGTTGGCACATCCTTTGGCATTTAGAGAGGGGTTCTGCGCACATTCTTCTGTCGATGTTAAAGAGTCATTCCGGAATCGACTATATTTCGCCCTCTGAAGCATCACTGGGTATCTCAAAAACGATTTTCGCAGTATCGGCCCGCTCAGCTTTCTACGATCTCTCATAGCCTTCCTAGGTTCATCTTCAGCTTTCAAAAGTAGAACCCTTATTACACAACCATCATATCCATAGAACGCTCCTCTTAGAACATTGAGTTACATATCAAAATATAATGAGAGAAATACAATTACAGAATTCCACTTGCAAAAGTAAAAGCACTGCATGCACTCAAAAATGATATATAAATAAAAATATAGGATCTAATGAAAATGGATTATTTTCTTCTTTTTTATAGAAGCTGAATGATCTATAAAAGAGGATCAGATGACGGCGGGGAAAAATCCAGCCTGAGGATGTGGAATACAGGAGCTCTCTTCTTTCAGGAATATCAGATGAGACAGCATGAGCATCCATAGATCCGGGGTGAAGCGTCGCTCGTCATCCTCTGCACAGCCCATGGCACACTGGCAGCATCCTGGAGTTAAAGAGTTTGGAGGCGTAGCAATTTCCCATGAATGAACTCGGCTGAATGAAATGCTCCCTGTGTTTGCACGCTATCAATCTGTGAATGAAGCTGAGAATGGCTGTAATTGACTCACGATCTCGAGGGTGTTCAGCTTTCATCCAATCAGAGGATGGCAGGATGACTCATACAGAACAAAAACACAAAGCTACTAGTTACAGCTCAGATGTAATGACAATGAAGAAATCCTCGACAGACAGACTTCCCTGTGCAGGATTCAGAGAGCAGAAAATATTGAAGAAGACAAATTCACATTATTTTATTTGAAAAGGGTACATTCTGGAGACCTTGAGTCCGGGATCACACTTGTGCTGTGCGGCACATCGCATGTGATTCACACAGGAACCGCATCGCATTGCTGTGCAAATCACATGCGAATTCTGTGCGGTGCGATTTGAGCCATGCATTTTGTATGGCTCCAATCGCACTGCATCCGCACCAAAAAGACGCAGAACCCTTTTTTTGGTCCGCACTAGAATCGGATTGCATGGGGTATTCACAACTATGCGATTCGATTCTGCACATCGCACATGTTTTGTGGACCGATTTCGGGGTGTTGTTAACTTAACATACACACCCGCAGCAGTTCGCATGAACGGGGTGCAATTGTGATGCGGTGCGGAATGTGCACAGAAAATGCTGTGAATTCCGCACCACATCAGTGTGAACGCTAAGTGATTTGGCTTTTCAGTCATTTCCTATTCTGCACAGAAGTTTGTTTAGGATTTATTATTATGTAAATTAATTGTTGGTGTCAGTTTATATTTATTATTTCAGGTACTTGTATAGCGCCGTCCATTTATGCATCTATATTGTACATTCACATCAGTCCCTAACCTTCAAGGAGCGTACAATCTAACGCCCATAACTTACATACATATACATACATACACATACTAGGGCCAATCTAGACAGGAGCCAGTTAACCTACCAGCATGTCTTTGGAGTGTGGGAGGAAATCAGAGTACCCGGAGGAAACACACGCAGGCACAGGGAGAACATGCAAACTCCAGGCAGGTGGTGCCGTGGCTGGGATTTGAACCAACAACCCTAGTACTGCCGGGCGGAAGTGCTAACCAATAAGCTACTGTGCTGCCCATATAACATACAAGATGTGCAAAACAAGTGCGATCAGGTTAAAGCTGAACTCCGGGAAAACTGAACACATATACTGGAAAAATGAATGTATTTCAATGAGCCTGATTTACACCGTAGCAGTGGTTTCATGTGCTTTTAAAAATGTACAGCATGCTGCATTTTTCCACCGTAAACTGATGTGAAAACAATATATATGTAAAGCGCTGTGCAAATTGACGGTGCTATATAAGTACCTGTAATAAATAAATAATACAAAACAAATGTAATGTACGGAAATGTATGTGAATGCACTCAATTCCATGTAAATACAGAAAAAAAGAAAATAAATAAAAAATTTAAAAACCACAATGAAATTGCATTGAAAATGCATGTAAATGACCAGACGTGCAGTAAACACAGGGACTGCGGTATAAAATGAACCTTTGAAGTAGGAACATCTAAATGCAGGAAAAAAATGTCTGTGTTTGGGGCTGCTCACCCCCACACCTGTCAAACTAGGAGAATTGGATGTGTCGAGCAGCTGCTGCGTCCCCATGCACTTACATGGACTGCCTGCACGCAGCACCTGGCACCACCAGCTGGATGACTTCCCAGATGACTTCTCCTGTATATAGAAAGGCTAAATACAAGAGTGCCATTGTGAATGAAGCTGAAGATCCTCCGCTCTCCTGGCAGTTGGTGCTCCCCCATGCTTCGCAGTGGACTGTCCCTTGGTGTCCTCACACATAGTGCAGGGCTAAGGTCCCTGTATTGGTCTGGATGATGCTAGAGGATGTTTTACCACTGGAGTGCATGAGAAAAGAAGCTATCGGGACCAGTCAGGCGGCATAGAGGCGCCTGCTGGAGTGGAGGATCAGGTAAGTAAAACAGCTGTTCCCAATCACCTAGGCATAAAGGAGCAGTTAAGCCTTGCAGTACGGGCGCAAGGAAAGACTTTTAGTTTTCCTAGAGTTCACCATTAGGCTTCTTGCACACTCAGGGGCGGACTGACAACTCATGGGGCCCCTGGGCAATAGGGGATCATGGGGCCCCTGTGTCCTTGCCCAAACTCAAAAAAGCCTATGAAAAAGGTACCAGGGGCATCTCATGGGGCCCTCTACTGACATTGGGCCCTCGGGCAGTGCCCGAGTTTCCAAATGGTCAGTCTGCCCCTGTGAACACTGTAGCATAAAAACACTCAGCACAGAGGTTTTTGTTTTTTTAACTGATCAAAAATGTAGCCCATTGTTTCCAGTGCGCCTGTACACACAGGTGAGTAAACAAGCGCTGTGTATTCATAAGTAAAAAAAAAAAAATTAGAAAAATTTGTGGTGCTGATCAATATTTTTGCTCATTTATACTCACAAAGCCATGCAAATATGCACGAATACGCACAAATTCCACGCTGCCTGCTTATGTGCGCAGATTCTCAAATACGCACAAACACACGTGAGTGATATACAGCCCACCCTAGCTGTTTTTTCTGCCAAGAAAGTCTGATATTCATACATCTGTACAGTGTACAAGAGGACTTATTGTGACTTTAAAAGATATTTTTTCCTTTCTTTTAAATGCTGCAGCAATACCTTGCAGGGTATACTGGTTTCATGATCCCAGGAACCATTCAGAGTTGCCAACCCTCCATATATTTACGGACAGTCCATAAATTTTAACTCATTTATGGACTGTCTGTAAATGTCTGTTATGGATGGTGGCCATCCATAAAAAACATGGCTGCGGGCCGACTTTGGAGTTGCGCATGTGCAGTTCCAAGCCGGCTGGGCTCAGAAAAGCTTGGCCATTTTCAGCTGTTCTTGGCCAGGTGGGCGCATGCAGACTTGTGCAGTGACATCATGGCACTGCTTGTTGATTGGCTTGCCTTGGCCTCCGCATCCATGCATTCTCTTCACTGTCCATGATGGATGGATAATGGGGAATTGGTGATGTGATGGGATCAAGGGCCTGTGGGCTGCCTGTCCATGGGACAATCATTTCAGAGCTCCACTAGGGTCCAGAACCTCATCAAATATGATCGCTACGATGTGCTGCTGGAGTCCCAACACAGGGTGGGAGGACTGTTTGCTCTTCGAGTCCTGAATCGGGACCACTCTGAGTGAGTACTCACTATCTCCTGTATCATGTCCGCAGCCTCTAACCATCTCCTGTATCATGTCTGCAGCCTCTAACCATCTCCTATATCATGACTGCAGCCTTCAACCATCTCCTGTATCATGTCTGCAGCCTCTAACCATCTCCTGTATCATGTCTGCAGCATCTAACCATCTCCTGTATCATGTCTGCAGCCTCTAACCATCTCCTGTATCCTCTTCGCAGCCTTCAACCATCTCTTGTATCATGTCTGCAGTCTCTAACCATCTCCTGTATCATGTCCGCAGCCTCTAACCATCTCCTGTATCATGACAGCAGCCTTCAACCATTTCTTTTATCATGTCTGCAGTCTCTAACCATCTCCTGTATCATGACCACAGCCTCTAACCATCTCCTGTATCCTCTTCGCAGCCTTCAACCATCTCTTGTATCATGTCTGCAGTCTCTAACCATCTCCTGTATCATGTCCGCAGCCTCTAACCATCTCCTGTATCATGTCCGCAGCCTCTAACCATCTCTTGTAGCCTCTAACCATCTCTTGTCATGTCTGCAGTCTCTAACCATCTCCTGCATCATGACAGCAGCCACCAACCATTTCTTTTATCATGTCTACAGTCTCTAACCATCTCCTGTATCATGACCGCAGCCTTCAACCATCTCTTGTATCATGTCTGCACTCTCTAACCATCTTCTGTATCATGTCTGCAGCCTCTAACCATCTCCTGTATCATGACTGCAGCCTTCAACCATCTCTTGTGTCATGTCTGCACTCTCTAGCCATCTTCTGTACCATGTCTGCAGCCTCTAACCATCTCCTGTATCCTCTCCGCAGCCTCTAACTATCCCTTGTATCATGTTTGCACTCTCTAACCATCTTCTCTATCATGTCCGCAGTATCTAACCATCTCCTGTATCATGACCGTAGCCTTCAACCATCTCTTGTATCATGCCCGCAGTCTCTAACCATCTCTTGTACCATATCCGCAGCTTGTACCCATCACTTATATCATGTCCACAGCCTCTAACCCTCTCTTCTATCATATCCACAATCTCTGACCATCTCTTGTCTTGTGAGGGGGAGCTTGGAGAGGAGTCAGGAGCAGGAGCGCTGCTGGGACGTGGGTCATGGGAGGAGACAGACGTGTGGAGAGGAGAATATAGGGTGAAACCAGAGCAGCCAAGCTGGAGCCCGGAGAGGACCGCCTGACTGAGCCCTGCACTGTGCACCTGAGAGGAGGTCAGTGTCAGCGCCACAAGGCCAGTCTGAGGGGGGGGGGGGGGGGGCACTGATATAAAGGTTCCTCTTTATGTCAATAGATCCCCCGTACCTCAGTGTATTCATTCTGTAGAAGGTAGTCTGTGGTCACTAGATTGAGTCCCTGCCACATCAGAGTTCCTGGTGTTCCCCTTAAATCAGGGTCTGCAGAGTTCCTCTTTACATCAGAGTCTGCAGAATTTCACCTTACAGTGCAAGGAAGAACTCTGCAGACCCTGATATAAAGGGCAATGCTGCAGACCCTGATGTATGTGGGAACTCTGATGTAAAGGGAAACACTGTGGATTCTGATGTAAGAAGGGGTGCTCTGGTGCTCAGATGCCACCTTATATCAGAGGTTCGCTTTACATCAGAGTTCCCCTTGCACTATTACAGGGAATCCTGCAGACTCTGATATAAGGGGGACCTCTGTGCTGGGTTATATTATTCTGACCTTCATGGAAATGGGAGAAATATGGTTTTTGACTTTTCTTATAACCAAATCACATTGCAAATCACACTAGTTATATGTTTATAGCTTAAATATTGATATTTGCACTTACAAGAGTCATTTTATGTACTTTTTCAAAGTGTCAGTAAAACCGTACTGTAGCTGTCAGTAAATTTCCTTATTTCTGTCAGCAAAAAAAAAAATACATTTTAAAAAATTTGGTGCCGTTTGTAAATTTTGGGCATCCTGGGCGTAAATTTCACGTCGTGGGGTTGGCAACACTGAAAGTATTGCTTTGTGTCCCTAGTATAAGGTCCTCCAAAGCATTAGCCTCAATATCCAGATTGAGAGTGGCCCCTTTCCCTCATGGGGTTCTATGGAGCCACCTTTTGCATGTGCACTCCCAGCTGGCACCTACAGACACTACATGTATTCATAGAAAGAGATAGCCAGGTGGCAAGCCACTCCCCCTGCTCCTCCCTCCTCTCTGTGTATGTGCTGTCCCTTCTGAACCGCGTATACCTCCTTTCCCAGAAGTTTGGGGAAGATATACATTAATGGTGGCCATAGAAACTTCATTAAATGATTTCTTTTTTCCAACAGCAATAAATGATTTATAGTTGACAACCCATTCATTTGACAGGCCACACATTGAAGTGGATTTTGATCGACAGTTAAGATACAATTGTAATTAATGATCGGAAGTTATCAATTTCATCTGTTTCCACCATGTAATCTTATCATCCAAATACAATCGCATTCGTGAACAAACCATCTCAATGCTGCTGATGGATACAACACGATTGATAATATTCCGCCATGGCTGATCGACTCCAAAGTAGACAAGAGTCTCCATCGATTGGAAGGGAAGTTCTGGCTATTTGACTGCTTACAGATTTAATTGCTTTGATTGAATCGCAAAATAAAATGGAAGCATATATGACTGCCATCAGGGCCCTTTACAATACTTATCTTGTGAACAGTCCACACGTTTATTTCCTTGAATTCCATGATTCCTATTCACTGTGCCCTGTGAGTTTCACATATTTCTCGCGGAGAAGTCAGTACAGGAATCACAACTTGCAGGCAGCAAGGTACCATGGGATATGTAGTCCTTGAAGGTAACCGTCAGAGGAGAAGCTACATGGCATGCAGGAATCCAGGAAGTTGTGGAAAGAGATGGCCAGCAGACAAGAACAACATGAAAGCAGATTTTAGAAGTAGGATTGTCAATGATAATTATTGTTTGTGGAAATAAGTGGGTCTCCCTTACCTGTGCAGAGGCTGCCCACCCTGCTACCAGTCCCAATAGCTCACTGACAATCTCAGGCTCCGGTGTAGAGGCCTTTGTCCTGTTTATTCCATATCACAGGCACTATTGGTTGGACCTATTCTTCAACCACCATACAGGCATTGTCATACACAGGTTTAGGGAGAAGCTGCAGAATCCTAAGGAATATATTGTAGATCAAGTGGCTACAACTCAGCCATAACACCAAATGTAGTCAGCCCAGGGTAGTGGTGTTACACTTGTGGGGGGGTCACCTCCACATTTTCCTGGCCATTGCCTCTTCCCCAGAAACTCTTCTCAGACTCCACATGGGTCTCCTACCCTTCTCCCTATCTCACATGTGTGCGGGCCGCAATTTGCACGGCCATGAGAGACCATTCCTTTGACTGGACTCCTGTGCCCCAGGACACGCAGGGAAGAAGTCACTGCACTACTTTGAAAATCGCAGGCCGCACGGGAACTGCAGTTCCCATTACGGTTGCGATTTCCAGTGCGGGTGGCGTGCCATTAAAGTTAATGGCACCCGCCCACAGGTCCCTCTTTCCTCTGTGTGGGTGCAGGTCCCACAGCGGCACCACCCGCACAGATTTGAACCGAGGGTTAGGGGTTGGATTAGGCCAAACAGCAGCTAATCAGAAGCCAGTCTGGCCCAGGCAGCTTATCAGAAATCCTCCTGCCCCTGGGCTGCTATGGGAGGGCCCTCTGCAGCTGTAGCAACAGCCAATCAGAGCACAGTCTAAGCTTCTCTCTCCCTGCAGCTGTCCATCACAGGAGAAAAGTGAAATAAATGTCCTTGCTGCCTATTCTTAGCTCTGCTAGGCAGGATGTCACGAGCCCAGGCCAGTGCTACACTTGTATCTCTATAACAAGGCTGATGTTATAAAATGAAAGTGTATGCTACGACCAAGAAACTCCTTTCATTTTTTTTTTCTGCTAGGATGCATCAGGACCTACTTTACCACTAAGGAAGGTGTGCCATGTCCTGCTGGCTGCGCCATGATGTAGAGATCTTCTCCCCACAGTGCTGATCTATGGCCACTGCGGGAGGTAACATAGGCCGCTGCGAGTGTGGAAGAGTTGTATCATTTCCTTGCTGGC